GAATGTCCTCTCTGAGCATGTTAGTAAGAGAACACGCATGCCGATCCATCTACACCAAAACAGTTGGTGAAACAATAACTGATTGAACAAATGAACAACAAAATGCAAACCCTCGTTCAGTAATGAACTGCCTTGGTTCATGATTGGGAAGAAAATGTTTGAGTCATGAATATAGAGTCCTTGATGCATACAAGGAAGCAAGATATCCTTTTTTCGAGATGTTCTCAACAAATGGTTTGTTGACACTAAACAAAAGTTGAGGTCAGGTAAAGCTAAAGAAAAAGACAATGAGGTAACCAAACCCTCATTATTGTAATATAACCTCGGGTCCATTACACGCGAGTGCCAAGTTGTCGATAAGTGCAAAATCTTTTTCTTGACGATTCAGCAACTTCCTATAAGTAAATCAATCACAGTGTAAACTCTACTGCACACACTGAGACATATCACATGTAGATGCCACTCAATAAGGCAATCCTATGTTTCAAACATATATTAACAGCCATATTGTCTCCATTATACAAAGTTTAAACAAAATCAAAGTAATAATTAATCATATAATCAGAAAGAATTCGTTTTTCAGATCCTCAGTTTGGTCATATAGTAACTTTGAAAAAAAACAACAACAAAGTAAAGAGAAAAGACCCTTCATCTTGTAGATGATTACATCATGTAAGGAATTTGTTGACTTATTTATGATTAAACTCATTGTACCTTATTGTAATAACGTTTGTAAAGCTTCTAGTCAACAGCCCAAATAAACTTTGGTATTGACTTTGACAAGGTTATACTGTTCATTAACAGGCAGAGAGCAGAGAAAAACAACATATTAAAAAGATTTTTTTTTCTTTATTAATGTAAATTTCAAGAGTAGAATATATCTCTTTATTGGGTTGCAAGCTTCAGGTCTACAATTATCTTAAAATATGAATAGATGTATGACCTTGTATCCAGTCACCACTAAAGAATAGGTCCTAAATTTTCTTGAATAAAAAAGCTTAATTATGATTTCTTGTCCTCCAAATTTTATGGTGAGCTTATTCTGTCTAAGAAATTGAAGCTATTTTGATTTAGTCTTTACAACATGAATTGCACCAGTGATGTTTACCACCAAACTAATTCATCTTTACAATTATCTGGTGTAAAGCTTAAATGTATTCTAAACTGTATAAAAAAGGAATTCCAATTCTTGTAATCTTAGATTGAACTGAAATAATTAGGTTATGATCTCATATGATATGATACAAGTTTGAAAAAGGGTACCCTAACCTATTATTAAAAGGGACCCTAGAACTATCACAATATAAGGAAATAGTAATATCCAACAAATGTCTCTCTTTTAAGATAAAAATAGCACAAAATTGCCACTCATTTCACATCAAAGCTTTGAAGGGTATCATAATGGAAGAAGAAATACCGATTACAGAATATTAATCAATTACCTGTACATGTCCAATTTGTGCTCCAGCATAGCGCTTGTTAGCTTTCACCTGTCAGTTTCCACAAACATTAAAAGATGTAGTTTAGTACATGTATTTGTTTATTTTGATAACTTAAGGATTTCTCTCTTACATCTTCTGGGACATCTTCAGGGTTGTCATATAATGCATCCAAAGGATACACTTTAGCAATCTCCATTAATGAACCATCTTGTAACTGAAAGATGAATAGTTCCTTATTAGCAAATAAAATGAGTCTCAAACTTTCTAAAATAAAATCACTAACACCAACACACCCGCTTACGAGTTTTACTTGCTGACTCATCGAATTTCCTCGTCTTAGGACTGACTCAATATATTTAGCCGATATAAATGTTCCAAGTTATACTTGACCACTTGTGTACTGCACAAAGATACATCGGGTAAAAAGAACACAATGCACAAATAACACAACACCAAAATCGTAATAACTCCTTCACGATGTACCCATGGTGCCAACCAGAATTTCAGCTCCTGCGGCTGCAAGAGATTGTGCTATTTATTGCCCAGCCATAATCCCTGGTCATCACCCGCCACACACCAAGCATGAAAGCCCTTTTACACCCGTGCAGAGTCACTAACATTCAGTTAATGCCCAACAAATCAAGATATAAAAGTAGGACAGTATGAAAGAACAACGTACACTTTTGAATTTATGAGCAAATTGCAAACTCTTAGACATTAATTGTTGAGTTGTTATATTATAGAGGTTTTGCAGACCACAACATGTTTTCTTAGTTCTCACTGTTTGGCAACAGAGTCTCATTTAATCAATTGAGAAAAAAGGTATCTTACATAAATAAAAATAGAGCTTAATAAACTTTGTATAACTGATATCTGTACAAACCACAGAAAAAAACAACAAAAAAAAAAAACTGTACTGCTTAGTTCAACTATTAGAAACAGAAACTAAAGGGAAATATCTAGTAACAATCCCCGTCAATTGGGGCAGTGAAGTTCACAAATTCCCAACTTGTAACAAAAAATGTCAAAGAGGTGTGATGAATAGGTGTAGTGAAAGCGTCAGCAAGCTAGGCTTAGGTAAAAATAAGAACTAGGTAAATTAAGCCTTGTTGAATTTTGTCGAGAATAACATGGCATTTCGATCTCAATATTTTTGGTGTGTTAACACATGATTGTGAGATGAGTGATGGCATTTGATTATCCAACACGACACTTGATCCAAGGAACATAAATATCATGAAGACAAAATTCCAACCATTGGAATTTCACAAGTAAGGCTGGCCAAATCTCCTATATTCAACTGCAGAGGAAGACAGAAACTTATTCCCTGCTTCTTTGATTTCCAAGTCAATGAAGAGAGTCATGAAAAACTCAAAAACCCCATGATACCTTCTGGTATCCAAACAGCAAGCTCAGACTGAATTGGCAAAGGCCGAGAAGTCCAAGGTCTGATGAGCAAGGAAGAACCCGCCAGGAGAGTGGATCCGTTGAGGTAATGAAAGATTCTTTGAGCAGCATTGTAATAATCTCAAGGTGTGCACAGAATTGGCTGAGTTTGTTGTAACACATAATCACTATCTTTGCTTGATGATGGTGAGATTAACAAAAGTTTGCCAACTAACTGCCAGTAACCAGCAGCATTAGATAAAAGTTGTCCATGATTTGCTTGAAGTTTAATAGAAGGATCAGAAGGAGTGTTAGTAGGTTTAGAACCAATCAAACCACTGTCATCGAGAAGTTCAAGAATATATTTTCTCTGATTCATGTGAATTCCAGATTTGGACCTTGCAATTTCAAGACCGAGAAAGTATCCTAAAGATCCTAGGTCTTTGATTTTAAATTGGGTATCTAAGATGGGCTTAAGATGATTAATTTCTGCCATATCATTGCTAATTAAAACAATATCATCCACCTAAACAAATAATGCAGTAAAAGAAGTAGAAGCAGATTTGACAACAAAGCTTATCTGCAGAAATTATTCGTAATTAGAGAAAGAAGAGTCAGCAGAGAAGTACTATGACTATGCCATTGTCACAAGGGGAATTAAACTAGGGGGGAGGAGGGACAATGTAAACCTCCTCATGAGCTCTCCATGAAGAAAGCATTGGGTTGACATCCAGTTTCTCTGCCCCAAAACCATCCTTTATAGCTGCCATAGCAAGGGAAAATATTTAGTAATCTAAGTTTATGATACTGTCTAGAGCAATGATTCTTACTCTTTATCTTGTCTAGTATGCCAAACTTTCAGCAAATTAGATTTTGGCATGAGTAACTCTTGTAATAAAGAAAAGAGCTTGTAGTCTCAACAACACAAACCCTTTTAACATTACTCCATATAACCACGGAAGAAAATTAGGGCGGATATATTCTTGATATCGTAAAGTAACAAAAAAATTCAAGTTACGAATAGATTAAATAAAACACACGATGTTTTTTTTGACAGATCCTACATACCATGTGTTGATACAACAAACATCATGGAAATAGAATGAACCTTTTTCAAATCAATAGCAATCCTGTAAACCTTCACTGTCTGAACTAGACACGGACATTGCATTTGTCCTGATTTTTTTGTATGTTACAGCGGCTGCTGTCATTTTCAAGAAAGGTTGTGATGATGCAACATGACAAACACTTGCCAGTTTATGACATGATTCATCAACCTTAACCTGCCTCCAAGATTGGCAAGGGCTTACATTTGCAAACCTTTGTGATGATGGAATAATTGGGTCTTGACATCGCAGTTGGAAAGTTGGTCACTGTTGTTGTTGCCATCTCGTACAAATGTGCAATAATGGCAGAGCACCTAGATCTGCACACAGAAATAACATTAGGATCAAAACATCACAATATGCTGAGAAATGATTAATACCTTTTCCATTTGGTCCTAACCTTTACTTAACAAAACTTACAAATGAACAAAGAAACCTTGGATACCAATAAGCCGCTCCGAAAGAGGACGATTGTAAATCATTCATAAGTTAAGTCGTCCAAAATCAACTCCTAGTTGATCAGAGTCTAAAAGTGCAAGACAAAGGAAAGTAAACCACAAAAATAAAGGTGGGTGAGCTTTTACATTAAATCTATAACCCCTCAACGTTAAAGCTATTTACTAGATCACTCGCGGTTTCTAAAAAGCTTTTATCTTTTTCACAGATAACAAAAGCATGAAAAGACCACCTCAGTCCAATTACTAGATCCCCACAAATCTCCGCAACTGAGCCACCCTTTTGTTTAAAAGTTCCATTTGTCACAGTCTCCGATGACAAAAACTGTTACTTGATCAAACATATCACATGCAGAAAGCCAACAAAAAAAGAGCCAAAATGATCAAATGCAAACACAGTGACATTCTTCATGAAGATTAATTAACCTCCTTCTATTCAATAGAACCCACATTTGCATTATTGTATCAAAATTGCATTGCAGAAACAAAACAAACAAGAACAAGAAGGTGGCCAGAGAAAGTAGATGTTTGTTACCTGGAGAGAAAGGAATAGGAAATGCAAAACTGGGCCTTGTATGTTGATATCTGTTAGACAATGGGGGCTGTGGAATTCTAGGAACTGGGTCGATAAAAACAATGCTGTGCTTTGATGAGAAGTAGGTTAACAGTAGTTAAGGACTTTGGAAATATCTCCAAACCCAATGCTATGCAACATGCTTCTGTGGAACTTTTGTATAAAACCTTTTCATGGTGGATTTTTAACTGTAAAACCTTAATAAGTGCTAACTAACGTGGATATGAAAAATATAATTAAGCGGACAAATTTTATAAAGATAAAAAAAGACTATAATTTAGGATGAGAGACACGACGGATATATTTGAACTCAGAGATTTGCAAAATATGAGAAAATTTATTATAAAATTTGTGAAAATGTCTGTCTCGATACACTTTATTTAGAATAATTATTTTATAAAACACGAGATAGGTTATCATTTTACTAGAGAAAGTTTTATGTCTCGATATTTTGAAGGATTAATCTCCAGACTTTTAATTAAGAGTTTTTGTATGCAACGAGATAATGTAAACGATCTTTACATGTCTATCGACCCAAATATCTCAATCTTTAAATTATCACGATTTATTATTAAAATTGAATATTACAAAACTCAATATTTAAAATGTGTGAAAATTTTTAAAATGTATTTTTTTTTTCTTTCAAAAACTCAATATTTAAAATGTGTGAAAATTTTTAAAATGTATTTTTTTTCTTTCAAAAACTCAATTTTTAAAATGCAATTTTATAGTTACACTTTTTAACAAAGAAAACAAGAAGTCGTATTGTTTACGAGATATTTTCTGTAACTTGTTCAACTCTTAAAGACGATAGTAAAAAATTCAATCAAAAATAATAATTTTATAAATAAATGAATACATCAACGGTAACTAATAAGGAAATAATTTGTATGATTAATGTTTTCAAGAAAATCAATTAATATATTGAATTTTTTATATTTTTCATTGATTTGTGTAAGTTTATTAAAAAAAATTAATATTAGTAAACACAGAGAAAGTGCAAAGAAGGCATGATGTATTGTCATTGTATTACGAAAACCTTGAGGGAGTTAATGAAAAAGAATTTTTTAATGATATGTTTTAAGTAGCTTCTTCCTATTATTACTAAAATATGCACAAGCAGCTTCTATCGACATACGTGAGCAAAAGTGATAGTAATTAGGGTCACAGGATGATGTGAAGTTGAGGAATATTTTGTTAAGAGGTAGGGAAAAGATTAAAGAAGCTAAAACATGTTGCACTAATTGTCAATACCCAATAAGATTTCAGAAAAAAGGTGTTCCAATTAATTACAATCAGTTTCTTTTAATCACTTGAAGTACTGTCTCTACCTTGCGAGATAAAAAAGGATGTAACCTGTTGAAAGTGTTCTGTCTCTATGTTCACGAGTCCCACATTGGCCAAAACACAAATCAACCAAGTGTTTATATATGTCTTGACAAGGACGTCAGTTTGCTGAGTTGGGTAATGTCAGCTTGTGACTCATGTGAGAGGAATGTGGGTGGTTTATTTTATGTTGAAAATAATCTCCACACGAAGTTTGTGTATTTATGCAACTTTATATTTTGGCAAAAATTATTTGAAATAACATATAAAAATTTATGAGTAATA